ACCTGGGGGCTTACAACCTTGCTAGACTGCTTGAAGTGGTGATCTCCAAGTTCAATAGGAACATCTTTCAAAACACACTGTGGAGAATGACAGCAGAAGATGCCTGATATCAATCTCTGGTCCAAGAGACACATGAACAGGTGAGCACACCAGTGTGCGTATACATGCCTCCACCCCTGCCCTAAACTACAACAAGTGGGAGGCCAGGCAAGATGGCTCATGCCCGTAATCCTAACACCCAAAGGAGGCCGAGGAAGGAGGGCAACCCATAAGCTCAGGGCTAGCTTGGGATATATAGTGAGTTCCTGAATTATCCTGAATATAGGGTGAAACCCTGTCTTAAAAAATAAAGTGTATAATTAATAGAAAGACTAACATGGACTCTTAGTTAAGTTTTTCTTTTTCAATACGTTTAAAAAGCGAAGAGAGGCTGAAAACATTAGTGTCCTTGCCTACCACATAGTAAACTATGGATTTAATCTCCAGAACCACAGAAAACCAAGAGGAAGAATCAGATCAGGTGGAGGCAGGTATGGCAGACATCCAGCATCAACTCAGGTACGTGCAGAGTTTGAGGTTAGCCTGGGTTACATGGGTCCTGTATCAGAAAAACAACAACTAAGAGGGCTAGAGCGGTGGCTCAGAGGTTAAAAGTGCTTGCTTCTCTCTCAGAGGACCCAAGTTTGGTTCCCAGCATCTTTGTTATGCAGCTCACAATCATCTGTGACTCCAGGTCCAGGAGATCTGACACCCTCTTCTGGACACTTCAGGCGCCCACTCATACATGGCAAACACAGAAATACAGACATATGCACAGACAAAAATCGATCTTTAGAAAAAAAATGAAAAAAAAAAGTGACTCAAAGCCAATTTGCCTCCCTCAGACCTCAATGTCACCCTTTGTTGAAAATCCAAACACCCCCCCCCATCACACCCTCAGGAGACAAAGTGAAGCAGATGAGACTCGTGTTCACACACAGCTGCTGACTTGGCTGCCATTCATTCCTTCCCTCTCACTTCCAGGCCAACAAGGGAGCAACACACATAGGAAGCATCAGGCTACTGCCTTGTCACTGAGTGACCTGGCAACTTTCTCTCTCTACAACATCTTATTTCAGAGGACCAGGGAGAAAACTACGTTGGAATAGTTATGTAATTGGGATCTCATGCCAATACTCTGGGAGAAAATTTAAAGAGACACTGGTGTCATTCACTTTGGCTATCAGACTACTGTTACTTTTTTCTTTAAAAAAAAAAAAAAAAATCCAGTGTGTTTTGCCGGGCAGTGGTGGCACACGCCTTTAGTCCCAGCACTCAGGAGGCAGAGGCAGATGGCTCTCTGAGAGAGTTCAAGGCCAATCTGATCTACAGAGCGAGTTCCAGGATAGCTAGGGCTACACGGAAAAACCCTATCTTGAAAAGAAAACAAAACAAAATTTGTATGTTTAACAGGCTTTAAAGATCCTAAGTTTGATGACCTCCAAAGAAAAGAAACAAAAGGCTACTGTCTGTGTATTGGCCAACTGAGCTCCAAAGATTCCCCAACCAGTACAGGCTATTGCCAGTGCTCCTGGTTACTCTTCAGAAGCTGACGACAGTAAGACTCTGTTGCTGAAGACACTACATACCTGAGTCATAGAACATGGGGAATTCTAGCTGGTACTCAACTGGAAACTTCACCCCAACTGGCTAGCTTTCACACTACCAGAGGTTCAAGCCCACTAAACTGTGGACCCTGAAAACCAGTCATAAACGGTCTGACAAGACATGCCCAGTGATACAGCAGTGGCACACATTTTGGGAGTGCCCAACCACTTTCTGAGTGTATCTCAGGCCACTTCAGGAGATGGACCACATACCTAGCACCGCTTAACTACACCCAGAATCTATAGCTGCACAGATCCCAGGAGAGAACCTGGTTCTGTTATTCTGCCAAATGGATGCAGTATCAAAAACAACTCCTAAGTACTATGGCTAAACCCATCAATTACTGCATCCCTCAACCATCTTCAGAGACGCTCCTTGCAGCAGATGGCAGTTAACACAGATATCCTTAACTGGCCAACATGCAGAGAGTGCTCAGCTATAAATGGGAGATTTACATCAAACTCCTTCCCCCAAGACCGCCATCTTCAGGGAAGAAGGGCAGAGAGGGTAAATACCAAGGTGGTGGATAACATCAAAGACACGGTGTTTTCAAGATACAACAGGACGATAACACACGAACTCACAGCACAAAACGGCACAAGCTCAAGCCAGAGAAAAATTCCTGCATGGGGGGGTAGGGGCAGCTCCTACCACTACTGAAGGAAGGGCCACCAGCATCTGATAGCTGCTGACGAGGAGAGCCAGTTTTCTTTGTATCACCACTCCAGGGCAGGCTCACACTCATGAGTAGATGGGCAACTTAAATTGGACTTGGTGGGCTTTAAAACAGAATCAAAGGAAGGAAGGAAGGAAGGAAGGAAGAAGGAAGGAAGGAAGGAGGAAGGAAGGAAGGAAGGAAGGAAGGAAGGAAGGAAGGAAGACAGACTAGAAGTTGAGTGGGTAAGGAGGCGACGGTAAGGAGCAGGGTGAATATGATCAAAATATACTCTATAAAATTCTCAAAGAATAAAGTATTTTAAAAGGTAGATGTTTGTGTGTGAATGAATTTACATAGCATAAAGCTTTTGAGACCTACATTATCCATATTATTTAGTAACATATAGTATGCCAACATTTTCCTTTGTATAAATACAATTTATGAATCCATTCACCTGTTGATTGAGAACTGCGATCTTTTCAGTTTGTGGGCAATTTAAAATAAACTGTCCTGAGCAGTTTTGTAAAAAAAAAAAAAAAAAAAAAAAAAAAAGGAGGGGGGAGAATTTTAAAAAAGACCATTCTGTATCTATTAAAGAAGTAATTGTGACAGGCCTGAAATGGTGTTATCTCACCAGACCCCAAACCACAGAGACTCTTCTCTTTAAAGAATAGGGCTCCTTTAAGGGCCCATTTTCAGAGGGCAGAGGCAGTGAGGTAACATACAGGAAAGATTAGTTAACAGTGAACAGTTAATGCTCATGCTATAGACTTTATGTCTGACCCATCAACTGTGAGATGACCCCAAGCAGTGGGGGTGAAAAATTCCCCACCTCAGTCTCACAAAACTGGAAATCAATCTATCAATTTTGGTTTCCTATTTTCTTGGATCTAAGTGCCTGACAACCACTACATATTTCTTTTATTCATACAATGAAAACTGAACCATATGTCAAAGGATTTTACTGAGGTATTGTGAACTAAGTTCCCAGAAAGGGAAGAAACAAAACCACCCAACCCCACCTTACATGTGTACAGTTCAACTGATTAGAACTCAGTGACTGGAGAGAGCTAGGATGTTGTAGAGCCTGAGTCATCCTATGCTATCTCTAGTCCCCTTAACAACCACTCATTGCCCAATTCTGTCCGACCTAACATCCTTGTGACTCTCAAGTAAAATCCTTTGCAATGCATTAACTTAGCAGACCATTAACTTCCAAAGGAACATTAAATTCAGTTGTAGTGAGTTACTTAAAATGTAGTTCCCTCTTTCTGGAGTCTGTATTCCCTTTCTTACTGTACTTCAACAGTTCCTTCTCAGAATCTACACTTACACAATTTGCCTATCAAGAATGACAGCACAATAAGAATTATAGTATAATCTGAGGAAAAAGTATTAGATGAATATAACTATCTCTCCATGCAAACAAAAAGAAAAGAATGCATGAATCATGCAACACTGTGAGAGTCAGTTCTTGGATGGATGTCTGTTTTATGATCCCGAAAGCAAAGTGGAATACATATGGAAAAGTTATATTTTTCAAGGATTAAGTACATCCCCACTCATCTTATGCTGTCTTCATCATTACAAAAACTACTGACAATCAGAACGTTCCAGAAGCACATATGATCCCAAGTTACCACATGCAGTTCACTACTCACTCTTCTGGGGAGATCCAACCCAGGTCCCAGAGTATGCCAGGCAAATGGTCTACTGCTGAGCTGTACCCAACGCCCAGGCCTGTTTTTCTGCTGAGTATAACTTAGAAGGGATTTGAGCCATTGGGAAAAATGCTAACACATTTGATACAAACCGCCTGACTGGAGGCAGCCTAACCTCCAGGTCTGCTAATGGCCTGTGTTCAGAAAAAGCTGAGCCAGCACCCACCTGCATCAACTTGATCCACTTAACAAACACCTGTGCCTTCTTCTGTGCGAGACAGACTATGATCTTTTAGGATCAGTCTGAATGAGCAGCATTCACATTCAACTTATGAAAAAAGAATGAAACTAGAGTCATCTGTATAGTGCTGAATTTACTTTCTAAAAAGAAAGTAGTGTTGCAAATTTTGAAGGGAAATACTCAAAAACAAACAAACAAACAAAAAACAGACACAGTAAAGACCTGCGTGCTGAACACCCATCTTTGGCTGTTAACCTCTCATGGCCACAGTGTACTCCCGCACCTCCAGACTTTGAAGTGAATCACCGATTTGTATTTCAACTTCTGTAAGTAAACCTAAAAGATCAGTTTATAAATAGTGTAATTATGGAACCAGCAAGATGCCTTGGAGCTCTTGTCATTAAGCCAGAACACTTGAATTCCACCCAGAAACATATGTGAAGAGACTATTCCAGAAACTTGTCCTCTGAACTACACATGCACATACGCAATGTTTAAAAAAATTAAATGTAATTATGATACCCTTTCTAAAACTGAAAACAATTCCTCAAATTCCAGAACGTTCCCAAACCAGGACACAGTCAAGTTGTTTTGCTCCTTTAGGCTAACTTTTATCGTACAGGTTTCCAATCCCTGCAATTCTCACAGGAGTCAACCCCAGTAACTTTAAGAACTTGATTCACGAAGATATGCTAGGCACAGGCCCTGTCAACATGTTCGTATACATTCATAAACATAAAGCACATGCGGAACCACCTTTCGGGTGTCCTCTGTAACCGTGGGTGTTATTTACCTCTGTGGTTTGAGCAACAACGCCCTTATCAGATCATTTGCACAAGTTGGGGGCGAAGCGGGCGTGTTTCCTTCCCCTTGCAGCCAGGTGGATGCTGGGGGCCTCCGCCGCGGGAACGGGGGTGGGGTGCCACCGCTCGCCCACCTCCGCAGGAGAGAAGTGCGGGTCCCCGAGCCAGCCGCCGCGCTCCAGTACCAATCGTCCGGCAGAGCCCAAGGTTCAGTCGCCGTGACCGGGTGCGGCCGGCCAGGCAGGAGACACACCCGACACACCCACTTCACCCCTTTGCCGGGTGCAGAAGGCTTGGAACCGCGGCGTGGGGACCGGACCGGGCGCCACCGACGTCCGTAGAGCGTCGCGCTCCGCTCTGCTGAAGCTCGCCGCTGCGCGGCGTCAACCCGAGTCCCAGCAAGGGAACCTGCTCGCGACGCGACAGTCCGATGGCCCCCGCGAGTCGCGTGCCCACCTTCGCTTGCACCCCTCAGCACCCGCGCAGCGCGAGGAGTTTCCAACCGCCAACCCCCGTGACTGCCCGAGGGGCGGGGCGGGGCGGGGCGTCGCTCACCTCCGCTCGCCCCGCCCACCTCCGCTCCGCTTGCCCCAGGTGAGCCCCACTCCACGGGGCGGAGCCGCGCGTTGCTCACCTCTGCTCGTCCCGCCCACCCCACCCCTTCCTGTCCTAGGTTGTTCCCAGAGTAGTCTGGTCGCTCCTCTTTTCTTTCAGCCCAGCCAGGCCCGGAACGCTCCGGGTAAACTGCCCGAATCCACCCAGAGATCGCCCATCTGGCTCACAGTGGGAAAAGCAGGCTCTGGCTTCCAATAGCTCGCAAGCAAGCACTCCCTAGACACCGGCACACCCCCTGCCGGTGGGTGACGAGAGGCGACCAAGGCAGCAACCCCGGGAAGGCTGGAAAAGACTGAGTTGAGAACCCATGGCTTGTTAAAATATTGCACGATTTTCTCCCATTCCTTTCCTAACGGATCCATGTTCAGGATTGTAGTCTAGGCCTTTTCCCCTCCCAGTGGGGCTGAACTGACCTTGCCAAAAACTCAGAAATGGCCTAACAGGGTAGAAAAGGACTCTTGGGTGTTAAATGTGGACTGTAAGGGGAACTGGGGTGTGTCTGCCTCCCAGCTCAGATCCTGGAAGGATCGATGAATGAAATCAAGCGAAGCTGTGAGGTGCTTCAGCCCAGAGATGTGTGTGTCCCAGCCGTTGTCTGCCCCGCTAAATCACCCCCCCCCCCCGCCCAAGCAGGGAGAGGGTAGAGCACCAGAAGTGGCTGCGGGATCCTTTTGCAGAGAGGGAGGAAGGGAGAGAGGGAGGGAGGGAGGGAAGGGAGGGGGTGTGCCGTCATATAGCCCTAAGAAAAACAGCAGCCACCAGCTGTAGAGTGTGGACTTTAAACAGGGCCAGCCGTACAGCTACCTAAACTAGGTGTGCACCGGCCTGACAAGATGGCCTTAACAGACCCGGCAGCACGGCAGAAGGGGCACTGATGAGCCAGCCTATACTTTCATAGAGATGGAATTATCCAGAAGGCAGAACTGGTCTTCAAATGCTCCTAGCATTCCTAAGAATCCCCACATGCCCACTTTCTCCCTCCATGCCCACATTTCTTATCAACACATCCTGAGAACTTTCCCATCTGGAGGTGTTAGAATGACTATATGCCGCATTCCTCCCAGGGGCAGGATCCTTTTTGGGACGCTGGTGGTGGATTGTGACAGATCCATTGTTTCCCAGTTTCCTATGGCCTTTTCTGCCTCCGTTGCAACAAAATTCATTCAGAAGGGTAATATGATGGTTAGCCTTCCTTGACAACTTGATTGAATGTAGAGTCACCATGGAAACACACCTCTGGATGTGTCTGGGAGGACATTTTCTGAGACCCTTCAAGGAGTTGAGAAGACCCACCCTGGATGGAGGAGACATGATCCATGTGGTCTTGGACTGAATGAAAGGGACAAAAGGAGCTGAACTTTTATCTCTGTTTTCTGACTGCAGCTGACTCTACACCTGCCTTTGATACCATATTGTGCTGTAGCCTGGAAATGTGAGGCAAAATAAGCCCTACCTGCTTATTTTGTCAGGAATTTTGTTACAGGAACAGAGAAATGAGCTAAAGTAGGAATCCAGAGCTCCTAGAAACCTAGATCTGAGGTTTCTGTCCCAACCATCTTACCTCTGAATTATCAGATGTCTACAAGAGACAGACAGTGTCATGGTAATTCCTCACCTCAACTTGTTGGAGAATGCTACTCTCCTTCAGGGAAGCAATTTACCAAGCTAAAGGGCAGCAGATGCCATTGCTAAGGAGAGTACAGTCACATGATTCTGGCCCTGAAGGTGCAGAACAAAGTCTGGGGAAGGCTTGCTTCCTTGAGGAAGGCCTCACCTCTCTTCCTGTTTCCTTCCTGCTGTGAACAGGGGTCAGAACAGAAATCTTGGACTAAGAATAACACTCAACAGAAAAGGGGGCTGCACCCATCCTGACCTGCTATGCTCAGGCTTCTTATTACAGGAAAAAAAATAAACTCTTTTCCTTGTTTAACTCGTGGGCCAAATAGTTTCATGCAATTGAACACCATAGCAGCGGATACACAGCCTGAAAATCACTCTAGGCAGGCTACCTAAAAGGCTGACATTGCAGAAAGGGGGTTTTCCAGCATCAGAAAGACCAGATTTTAGCTTCAGCTCTGATGGTTATGTTAGCTAATGATTGTGCCTAAGTTTGTGAAATTAGATTTTGTATTGTAAAATCAAAAGCTATCATTAAAAACTAAAGACAATGATTTATCAGTAATCATTGATATCTACCAGTTTCCAACCTCCATCAAATTTTTCTCTAGTGGAATTCAACATCCCCATTTTGTATAAACTGAAAACATAACCCCTCCAAGGTATGGTTGAGGGGAAGGTTTTTATTGTAGATATGAGGGAGAGTATAGCCAGAAGCACCTAGAAGAATCCAGAGCAGGGACAGGAGGTAGACGGAACATGCCCATAAGACTGGGCTTGTCTAGGAGAGGGGAGAGGGTGGCATATGATGACAGAGATGACCAAGAGAGGAAGACAGGAGGGGGGGTGCAAAAGAGATTGAGGATAGCCTAAATAGTAGGGCTATAAGGAGAAATGAGTAGCTGGGGGCAGGGAAAGCTCATATGATGAAGAAACTCATGTTAGAGCAGGAGACAAGAGGAGCTAGGCACTTGTGGTACCCAGGGGGCCTTTTGGTATGCTAGTAGGCACCTTGGATAGACATTTGTCCCTCCTGCCAGTGATAAGGGAACCAGCTCCTTTGTTAGAGGGGTATAGGCTTCACAAGGTCCACCAGAATTTAGGAGAGTGGAGTTTCCTTTAGACCTGACAATATTCATTCCCAAGGCAATTGCTTATTCAGATCTTAAATGTTTTTGCAACAGCAAGTTTCATTACACAGCACCAATGGCCTAGTACCATTCTATTTATGTGTCTGTGTCTGTGTATGCCTCATGTGTGGGTGCCTATGGAGGCCAGAAGAAGGCATCTGATCTTCTGGGGCACTTTACAGACAGTTGTGAGCTGCCTGATGTGGGAGCTGGATCTACTGGAAGAGCAAAAAGTGCTCTTAACCGCTGAGTCGTTCTTCTAGCACTTGCCTGTTATGAGTAAGGTTTTTGCCTCTGGTCTTATCCCAGAACTGCACCAGTCACAAATAATAAACAGCAACTCTGTATTTGATATAATTCTGTTGGCCTACTACTAGCATTTCTTATTGGCTAACTCTGTCTTAAATATTAACCCATTTCTATTAATCTAAGTATTTCCATGTGGTCTCATCTTACCAGAGAGAGGGACCTACCCTGTAGGTCCTCCATCTTGGAATTGCCTTACTACTTCCAGAATCCTCCTTGGCTCCTAGTCCCATCATCTTGCTTTCCAATTGGCCAACAGTGCTTTATTCATTAACCAATAAGAGAAACATATTTACAGAATGACATCTCCCATCATCTCCTCTTTTTTGTCTAAAATAAAAAGGGTTTTAACCTTAACATAGCAAAATATATCACACAACAGTTATCAAATAAGAATCACAGTTAACAATATTTAGTCCATTAACATTTAGTAAGACTTAAAGAAAATAGTCTATCATCTATCTTATCTTCATGCACCTAAAGTCTTATATGTAAGTTATCTTTAATCCTAACCAAAGAAAACTATAACCATAACTATCTGTCTTCAACTCCATCAAAGACCACAGAAGGATAATATATAAACTCTAGAATGACAGAGACAACTTGCCTGGTCAGTCACCCAAAGTTCTTCTGTAATGTTCCATTTTCAGCCTATAGGCCATAGTGTGTCTGGCAGACTTCTCAGCAAAGCAGGAAACTTTAAACTGTCCACCTGTATTGGCAGTTTGTCAGACACTTTTCTCTGTGTCCTGTAGACTGTCTGGCAGATTCTTCCATGAAGCAGGAATCCTGTAGCAATGTCCATCTTGTATCAGCAGTCACTTTCCTGTGGGTCCTGCATGTCCAGTCTATACAGCATAAAGTCAAACAGTCCAGACAAGAGCAGTATCTTGCTATAATGGCTCGTCTTCCATATTGAAAGCAAACTCCATAACACATTTCTTCAAGGTCCATCTTCCTTTCTGACGCAGGTGGTGTTGCAGGAGCAGTTGTGCCTCATTGTTAAGAAAAACCCTAAATGAGTTTAAATGCCATATTCTGTAGGTCTTTGAAAGGTTTGAAGAATGCCTATCCATCTCAAATACATCTTGAAAACCTAACTAACTTAACTCTAAGTTTTGACTATCAGAGATAACTACCTATAATCTGTACTAAATTATACATTACATTCCTAAATGAGCGATATAAACACAATACCTAAACAAGAGGATAAATACACATATCACAAAATTGACCTTAAGTTTGTATCAATAAATGAAAATTCTTTCCAAAACAAAGTATTCATATCTATATACCATAGTCCCCTTTTTACCTTTAGGTCATTAACCATTTATAACCAACCCTATTTAAATGAAAACAAATACATTTATAAACAATATTTGGGAATTTGGGCATCGTTCTTTCCGAACTGCTTCCTGCTGAAAGGGGGCACTGTCATGGGAATCCTAAGAAGATGCAGAAATCATAGCTGTAGTCTGTCTGCAAGGCTTCTTTGTCCCATGGACATTGCTTCAGGAGGTCTTGCTTGATCAAACCATGTTAGTCTAGAAGGAATCCAAAGCTTTTTCTTTTCTGTAGAAACAAAAATAGAAATCCTTTTCCTCAGTAATCTGCCCTTAGACTTAAAATTTGGAGTCAAAGCATTTTTAAAATATATAAATTGAATTAATCCAGCAGCATTTCTTTTAACAGTTATTTCCTCAGCAGTCAAACAATACAAAGACAATATAATACCGTTTAGTATCCAGATTCTCTCTGTGCTTTCCATCTTTATGTGGCTTTTTTATTACTCTATTTCTTCTACTTCTATTTTTTTTCATTTTTTTTTTTTTTGAGACAAGGTTTCTCTGTGTAACTTTTATC